TCTGCGTCATATCATATTGGCTTAGCAGGTATATTTGACTGAATTGAAAGCATACGTGTTTTTCCGTTGTCTGATTTATGGTCTCGTAAGTGTCGATAAATTCATCTCAGTTATGAAGATTAATTTATTAATATAAAATATTAAGAAATTTTGTTCATATTCTTACTTATTTGAATATTTTTCGTTCGCTTCTATTACTGATTTTAACAAGTATTGGGTGGATAATGTCACTATTCCGGAGCTTTATTAATAGCACTTATATATCAGAACATACAGCTATTCAATGCGTAACTATTTCTTCTAGTTAAAATTTCTCACTTTCACCGCATTGCATTTTTTAATGCTCAACTGGTTTACTCGCTTCATCACGATATTAATTCAAGTCAATTGGGTTATTTATTGGGGATTTCATGGTTTCATGACACTTTCGGGACATACTAGGTGTCATAGAAGTTATAAATCTTACTTTCATCAAAAAGTCTCCAATAGCATAATTATAATTAGACTGAATTCACTAAAGCAAATAACAACAAATTACAGAAAACATCAATTTTACCTGACGTTACCATAAACGGATGTGAAGAATCTATGCTTTAAAGCTATCAAAATACACAGGCTTTTACTTATCCCATCGTTTTATTTTTTTAATTATCTCGTAACTTAAGATACTTATTTCATATTTGTTTCAACAACACTTATGTTTGTTGATTGTATACCAGGATCTTAATATTGCATATTTTGCTAAAACGGCTAATAATTCAATCAGTTTATGTTCCGGCTTATGGAATACTCAAAAACTGAGATACCTTGTTAGAACCCACAAGATATATTAGTTAAATCGCGTAAATACTTTCAAGCCATCTTCAATCGTTTTTTTTTTCTAATAAATAGAAAAGAATCTAATAACTTTCCCGAGTGTTTACTCCTCTTTTTGTTCTTGCATATCAATCATATTATTTTAATAATTTATATAGAGTACGTTACAGGTGGCGACCAAAATTGTTTTGAAAACACAGTAAACTCACATAGCGGTAACAAGTCTATAACATTAATTATTCTGACTGCATATTTATGTGTGATGGAACAAATACATATTTTTAGAAATATCAGCGACTTTTTAAAAATGTGTACCAATTTATTTATAAACGGTTCCAATTTAAAGCTACATAACTTTTACATAGGGTATGAAATGAAGTGACTCAATATATTGGGTTGGGCGATCTTCTTGTAATGTATTTAAAATACATACTTCATATGTCTGCTAATTTTATCTTTGCCAAATATTTACCTATAATCAAATGAAAATTTCCACTACCAAAAATGTCAAAATTTAAAGTCTAGTTTTGTATGTATGTTTTCGAATTGAAAGTAATTTATTTTCGTGTCAAATTCTCATTTTGACCTGCACAAATTTTTTTTTGAATGAGCACTGTTCTTAGCATTTAAATTTTTAATGCGTTTGAATAAATTCCGTTATACCTATTTAAGTTAATTCAAAACGTACACGTTGCGTTTGTTTACCCCAATAAAAATGTATAACAGATACGCGAATGATGTGGTTTTCGGATAGATATGGAAAATACACGCTTTTCCTTAGGCCAACGTTTCATGAGGGAGGGAACAGTAAACATTAAGAAAGTTCGGCAATTTACAATGTTCCTTTTAGAATCGTATAAAATAGGATTCAAAGAAAAATAGTAAAACTACTAAATATAACTAATACCATAATGGTTGAAGATTTTAATAAACTTTGTTATAGAATCCCTTGTCAATATACAATTGCTGATCATAACTTATTTCATCATTAGGGGTGATAACATGACGAAAAATTAACTTTTAGCCCTTGACGTTCTCAATGAACCGTAACGCTTTTAAGATCGTAAGATCTAAATGAAGAACGTCAATTTTTAGTCAGTCCAAGAAACAGATTTAATTGTTCTTATGTTTAACTCAAAATAGTACTATGCTTTGTTAAGGGATAGTCAGAAAGTTCATTCTCTGGTCTGTGAATAAGTAGAATTTTTAACAATTTGTTACAGTTTGGCAGAATGCGAACATTCTKAATGAATAAAATCAATCACTTTATATATATATATAAATAATCTTTATTTCCTGCAAAAAAAGGCTATCGACCCAATCGGTCTTTCTGCCCAAAACTTTATTGCATTCAGAAGTTACATTCTCAGATCGATCAGTAACGGTAATTAAATGCAACTCAGTAACAAAAAATKWAATGTTTTGTTAACAAGAACTTACTAGAATTAAATCGCAAATATGGATTTMAAATATAATGTTTTGCAGAAATAAGAAACGTCATAAATTATTTAGAGTAGTTCGCGTAACGCAGTTCTTAAATGCGCTACAACAGGGCTATTTTGTCATTAAGTCAGATATATAGTTGAGATACTTGTGGCGTTTATAAACAATTCAGAAAAGGCTTTTTTCAATGAGCAAAAGTAATATTCAGTAAAAAGCAGTTAAGTGACTATATTACTTTAAAATTAGCTAAATTAATTATAAAAGTCTTCCCGTGTGGTCATTATGGTTAAAAAAGTTAAAAACTAAAGAAGCTATTCAAAGTGAGAACCGTCGTTTTTCATACATTGAACTACTCTTTGGATGGAATGTTACAACTGAATTTTTATTCTGCTCGAAGCGCTATGATTTTTAAACCTTTTTTGGCACACAAGGTCTCAATTAGAAATTTAGTTTAAATGTAATTTAATGTAGAATGTTGTTGCTTACAAATGAAATAACTCTCAGCTGGAATTACGCGCTTATTTTATATGAAACACCCCATATTTTTACCTTATCGAGAAAAGTGTATCAAAAAATATAACATCAAAGTTGTGAAATCAAGGATTTCCTGGATAATGAGATTTGTTACACAAATTCATATTTTAGAGATAGGTAACCCTGTAGGCCGGTAATAAGGTCGTCTAAAGTAAAATTGGCATTGGCAGTTCGGGCTTTTCGATGAATCAATTTCAATTCAAATTAACTAGTTCTTCTGTCGAAATATTTATAGTCTTTTCCATTGTGCTCTTAGTGGTATTAATGATGAGCTATTTCTGTTAAGTTTGAGGCTCCAGGCAACGTGATACAAACCTACTGTTTTTTTTCAATTTCAATTAAATAACAGCTTCTATTCATGTTTAACATGTGGATAGTGAATCGCATTAATCTGCAAAGCGATAGATTTTAGAAGTTGTTGACTCAAATTAAATTTGCATTAACTATGCTAATAACTAGTGAAGCCGTCCTACAATTTAAAAAATCTTGATAATTTCCATTTTACAGTATATTAGAAATAGTTCATATTTTTTGTTATACCTTCTTATATCTCACATCAATTTTTTCTATAAATTTCGATAATATAGACGTCGCATTGCAAACAAATGACGAGTAATTTGTAGCATTTTTGATGGTATTTTTATGGATGAAACCAATTTAAAAAAATAATGCACTTAAAACTATGTTTACCTACTAAAAGTTGGATTAGGTACAACTATTGATTTTTTCGTGAAATAAATTCTCGAATAATGCCATTCTGTACATTGGACAGTAAACATTTCTCTTTCTTTAAAAAAAAATTGTAATTTGTAAGTTCTATATGGTGAATCATTAAAAATGGTGACCACTGGCTCAAATATGCCTTATCTTAGTTAAATTGATAGTTTTGTAAAGCGGAACAATTACTTCAAGGTATTTTATCAATCTTTTGTTTTATTGTTAGCGGTTCTGATAATGCCAAATTTTGCTTAGTTTAATCATCCATAATTTCTTGAATGCAGACCGAGGCATCGAAACGAAATCACGTTTGACATTGTCCAGTACAAGACAGAAAAATAATTTTATATCAGTATTCCCAGTGAATCTCCCTGCACCAGCCAAACCAAGACAAACCTTAACATGCTCAAATTTTACGGGTGTCCAATTAAAATATTAGAGCTACTTTCAGGCTACCCTAGCCTTGGGGATAGAGGTAATTTGCGATACTTTTCGCAAAGCTCATGACCAGTCTAGCAAATGAAAAAAATCAGATCAATTTCGACAATAATGAAAGTGAACGTGAAAACATTCCGTTCTTGTTCTTGTTCGAGAATTGAAAAGTCCATTTTTAAGTACTTAATATTAATAAATTATTTTCTAATCTAAATATGGGTACTTGTTTGCTGCTAGGACAAGAGCCAAAGATTTTCAACCGGCCAGATATTTTTGTAACATTTATTTCGTTATTCTACGCAAGTAGATAAAATCTCGTGTAATATTTGTATTGCAAATTCATATTGGGACACTCAAGGTATTGTCAAACACTGTTAGCTCCTTGTTTGACAAAAACATGTCGTTATAAGTACTTGCTGAAAATGAATCTTTGCAACGCTTGTATGTTAAATAAAAGAACTAAAAAATATTCGACATTATGTCCGCGCAAAGATGAAAACAACATATTTTGTAGAACAGTTATATTGTATTCAACTCTTACAATTAAAAGTATAAATATATCCTGCCCATCTTGAAAATTTTTCCGCCGTCTTTCGCTCAAGCGGAAAATAAAGCTGGCGCCGCCACTGATTCTATCTAGATCTATCAAGGGCCTTATTAATGTGTTATTTGCTAAGACGAAGAGTGGTTGGAAATACACATTTTTACCGAAATATCAATGTTGCTTATTGCTTCTATCCGAACATTTGCTCAAGAAATTTGGTTTATTTTCTTTAATGAAAGTGGGCATCGCCCACACGCCTCTTCTGACGAACCGCCACTGTAGCAAGAATATGTAAATATGTAGATTTAGCCTCCAGCTGGGTAAGAATGGCATGGAATTACATATTATCCATTTGACGACACTACGACAGAAGTTGCAGAAGTGAGATCAGGCCATTGCCCTATATATCGAATTTCATATAGGTTTTGGATTTTTGCAAACATACTAATCCGATTACTTAAGAACAGCCCGGCTTTTCTGAAACTGAAACGCTCGTTCCTCGATCATCCCACCACAAGTGAATTTGTTTAAACATTTCGCTGGTTAAACAAACTGATCGTGTCGTACCACGAATCGACGAACCAGTCGCGACTTCATAACGGGTTTGCGTGGAGCGGGATTTCACGCTCGCCGGCCAAATATACTGAGTAAAAAGTTGGATCATTCGAATATACCACAAAACTAAAACGTGCATTTATTTTGCCTGCTTTTTCCGTTTCGTATTTTTAGATTTCGAAGTTCAAATCTAAACTATTGTGTCGAGAAAAATGTTAAGTTCGACCGGTAGTTTTGTATTTTAACATTGTTTATAACTGTTAACAGTTTACACTTAAGTCTGTGCAGAGAATCCTTCAATATGGGTATGTATGTAAATGTAAAATCGTATTAAGTTATTTGTAGGTTTATTGCTTTCAGTGACTAAGTTGTTAAAAATATACAGTTACTATTCCACGCAAGTTCATGCACCTTTGAATATAAATAAAATCAGTAAACACTATCTGAGATGAAGTATTCGAAAATGTTTCGCGTATCTATCTACATCCCGGATATATTCGCTACATCAATAAAGCACATTTTTAAAGCTTATTCGGCAGTAATTAAATAGTGTCTATCAGTTACGTATATTTATTACCAGTTTTTATGTTGTGCTGAAAAGGAACACGCGTTTCTTACTTGCTGCCCGCCCGGTTTGATTCGACCTGATTTTCAAGCTACACGTTAGCTCTTCATCAGCAACGCATCCAAATCTGTCTCAAATATTCAATATTGAGTACCTTCGTAGGTAGTTAGTTGACTATAGCGAAGCGTAGTAGTGCTGCATTTTTTTTCAGATTGGGCTATTTCCGGTCATCGATAATTGCTTAGATAAGATGAAACAACGAACTCATGTACTTTATGTTTGTCAGAGTTTCACGTTCTTTTCAGTTTTCCCATAAAAGCAGTTGCGCCTAAGATCCACTGCAATAAAGTTTTTGCAATATTTTGGTACTTATTCTAAACCTCCTGATTGATTGCCGTTATGTTCCACACATGTTCTTCTTGTTTTGGGCGCCCTTGCATGGAATGTTGCACGTCAATAGTCAGATCCCAGGTGATTTCCAAGAAATTAACCAAGTGCAATGTTGCCACTTATTTCACCCATTGATCATTATTCATACTTGAACTTTACGAGAGGGAAATTCCCTTTAAGTAAATGGCATATTTTCTCTTTTTTGGTTTAGTTTAATTTCTTTTAGTATTGGATTAGTTTAGTAAGAATTCAATTTTCTGTTCTGCAATAGTTTATCGGGGTTTCCGTAAAAAATCAAAAATATCCTATCTTGACCCAAATTCAACACATCGTAAAATTTAAGCGTACTTACACGAAAGTATACTATTCCATTTACATAAAACGTTCTGTGCAGTCTGGCAACGCTGGACAAAGTTTAGCGTAAATATGGATATTTTATTATAGTTTACAAATGTTTTCTAGCATGATTCCATGGACGATCCGCATTTTTATCCACTGAAACTACTTTATTTTAAGTGTATCTACTTTAAGGAAAAATTGAAAAGAACGCGAAACTCTCACAGACATGGGCACCGCAAACATGTATAATTAATGTATGGCATTAACTAACCACCTTTAAATGTTTTTCCCACTGTATCTCATTTGTTAATCCTATGTATCATATCACTTTCTTGCTCATGTGCTTTTGCACAATACTACCATACTTCAAATCCATGGTATACTTGAAATTTCAATTTCACTGATAATTTAAATATCTTAAGAACAAACAGTTTGTTTCGCAAATAACGTCAATAAATTACGGAAACAATGATTTGGCTGTAATCTTCAATTTATAATTAGTGAGTATATGAGCAAGCAATATTTAAAAAAAAATTGATTAATTAAGCCAGAAATATTAGAAAAATTTAAACTATTTTATGGAACTCCTCTCTGACCCCTTGACAATCTTGACATACCTAAAAATAAAGAAAACTATTAATAATAATGTCTAAAAGCTAAATACTCCTTCAAAAATAGGTCTCAGAACTTCAAGATGCAAAGCAACTAGTCTTATTAAAGTGAGTAGTTTGATTCTGTAACGCAGAAAACACCAGTTTGACATGATCAAACCAAATTTAAAATACAGGGCGTCATTCCTCTGCAGGTTTTGTCTGGGGGTGTTTTAGTAGTACAGAAAAATTATTTTAAAAAATTTGTTGTTTTTGAAAACTGGGAAATTTGGAAAAAACAATACCAGAAGGATGGCAACAATGTTTTTCAATCTGCCTAATTAACATTATGTAAAAACCTGTTGCTTCGTAATTATTAAAAACTCGGGTAACAATTAAAAAATATAGAGAGAGAAAGTGGCAATAAAATAGATAAGGATAAACGGTAAATTCAACAAGATCTACTTTTTTCGAAATGTCAAATTGTCAACGGGAAATTCTTATTTATTGTCATAACCTCGAATTGATGTGTACACAAATAAACATAGATACACTTCTGTATTTACTCCAAACAAGTTAGTGCCGGTGTAATCACGTTATTGTGCTCTCGGGGAACTTCTCGTATTCAGTCAACTCGGAAAACGTTGGTTAAACGATTCGATGTTATGGATACCTATGTCTAAATTCGTAAACAATCATTAATTTAATCTTGATGGCAATCAAGTATAATAAATTAATCGAGATGCAGAAGAATCAACGAAATGTAGTCGAATTTGTTGTTGGTTACAAAATAACATGATCATTAATCAAGACACAGAACAAGTTAAAAACGTACAAGAACCAAGCATGGTGAATGGCATTGCTGAAAAAGACGAAAGAAAAGTAACTAATAACAATAAGTTGGTTTTCTGAACTAATTCAATTTGTTTCAATGCATTTCTGATTGGCACACACGTTACACACCAGACACTTGAAAATTAGGATTATCGCAGTAATTTGTGGCCCTATATAATAGTCATCAATTTTTCCAATGTAATTGATACTAGGGGAGCCTAATATTATTTTCATTGATTTACGGTGTCTTGTAGAGTTTTTCTTTTAATTTACCTTACGAGCAAAACCCTTGGCGCCAGAGCGTTGGACTAGGCGTTTGTTTACCAACCAATCAATGAATATTTCTTCATGTTTTCTTGTTACTCTTAAGTGAGAACAAATTAGCCCGAGGAAAGCGTTTGTCTAATGTGAAGGATTGTAAGAAAATATTTTTTTTAACTTCGGCATTAGGAAATATATGATAGAATTGGACGCATAGTCGTGAGTATTTATTTTATAACCTCTTGCATAATAAACTTTAGCTTGACTTTTTCCTAAAATCCTTTTTTATGAACTACATGTGAAAAATGATCCTCCCAGAGACATTTATATTGTCGGCGGAAAATACCCACCTTGAAAATCTGCTGGTTCCCACAAAAAAAATTAAATGAAGGTTTCTTGTTGAGGAGGATTAAAACTTATTAATTCTGAGAGTATGATTTTGGGACTTCAGAATTTACACCAGAGAATGTGTCGTAATTCGGTAATGAAATTGTTTTATTTTAGCCAAATCGGTACATGTTCATCAAGTTTATGATTTCACTTACAAAATATTTGAAATTAAGTAAGTATTACATAAAAATATTTTTTTCTGATCATTCCTTGCATTAATTTGTTTACATCAATCGAGAAACTAATTGAGTCGTTCGTTTCAAATACCACTTACGTCAAAAAAGGTAAATTTTCCAGCGAGTGAAAAAACTGTTTTGCTTAGCATATATCTCTTAAATCAACAATATATTTTTTAAATGACCTATTTTTGTTACTGGGACAAATGTAATGTAAATTAATGATATAATATTAATAGTTTTTGCACGGAATGCTTCTCTTTGCTATCAACTTTTATTCAAAAGGAAATACATTGAGCAATTTTCATACACATATAATGGTTTACTCAAGTTTCACAAAAAGGCTACAAAAATAGTAGAACTGACTGCAGACAAAGTTCGGAACATAATCAAACTCTTCGTCGTTCTCGCGATCATCGTCGTCGTTTTCACATCCAGTTGGCCACTTGAAAATTCTTGCATAGAATGGCATGTGTTCTTGGAGAATACTATTTTTGACTTGCTTGAAATCTCTATTATTTGGGGGCTTGATGGATAGGCCCTGCCCATTGGATATGCCTTGCTTTATCTGGTGATAAATTGAATTGAATTTAAATCCTCAACTACGACCAATCCAATCCTTGTCTATCTCTTTCATAGTGAAGCGACGACGGATGAGTTTTTGAGTTCTTTTGGTTTATGCTTCCCAAAGCTTTGACTTGATATGCACATTTTTTCATAGTATATTTGCAACCATTTTGAAAAATCTGGTTTGTTGACCACATAATTATCATAAAATTCGGACTTGTTTCAGACATATTATTGTAATATTCTTCAGGGACATCAGTAATACATACTGAATAAGGTCGCAATTTTTAATCATTTTTACAGCTCGAAAGTCTCGATCATTAGGAAGAAACGAATGTCCTCTTATAGGGAAATAATAAGTCATTTTTGAAAAACGGCCTGTATCGCTCAATGATAGTAAAAATCTCAACAACCGTGTGATTTTTACTCTGGCCAGAGCAATTATCTGAGAGGACCATTAATTCATTGTAGGCAGCTACCACCAACTAGCTAAAGAGGCGATTACTGGCAAAAACTCAATTTCAGAAAATCTTGACTTGGATTATTTTTGAAATGAACGGATTCAATTAATATCAATATATCTTTGGAAGCGACATTGCTATCGCTTTTGATGTGAACCAGATATGTGAACTTTAACTGATATCTCGGAAACAATTTTAGATAGGTGATAGATCGATTAAGCAAACAACATGGGCAATGGGTAGCTAACCCTAAAATTGAATTGGGGCATTCTTCTAAAATCATCTTAAAATTACAGTAGCTTACAAGAGGAAGATTTGCAAGGAAATAAAAGTTATAGTAGGAAGCAGTTTTCATTTGATCATGTGGTAGCTGAACAGGAGATTCTCGTTCGTTGGCAATACGTAAATATCTGATTCCTCAGCCACAATGCACAAAGACGACGAGTGCAATCAAAAAGTAATTACAAGAAAATTCGCTCAGTTCAAGTCAGATAGTTCAATAGGTCAAATTTAATAAAAATATCTAATAAGTCGATGCTTTTCTGCTACTTCTCTACTCATCTATGCAAATTATGCTGTGTTTTTTCTCTCTGTAGAACACCAAGTATATAGGAACTTTTATAGAAACAGTGTTTAATGACTTCTTGATGAGTATCCCGCGATGTAAAATGTTTTGAGCCTGAGCTTTTTTTAAAGCTTTTGGCCTTTTAAAAGCTTTAGTTGGTGGTGTTA